GAGGACGTGGCGGCCTCCGGTCTCGGGTTTATGGAGGTTGGCGTCGTGGTTCGGGAGGACGTGGCGGCCTCTGATCTCGGGTTGATGGCGGTGACTCTGCTTCCTGCCATCGTCTGAGAGACGCTTCTCATTGACGTTGGCCGGGAGGTTGTTGGTTGTTGAGTCAGCCGTCCTGATGATTAAATATAGTTTTATTCATTATTCAGAGCAGTTCTACGGAAGCCTTAAACGGTCGTACATTCAAACAGTTTTTAATTATTCTGTTAATTCAGGATAACAAAAGTTGATTAATTGATTAATTTATCTCGTTATCTGGAGAAAACTAAAATATTTTTTTAATTTCTTGAGATAATAAAACACTCAAGAGCAAGACAAGAACAACACATCTCGTATGTTTGTGTATATACGACACTTTCCACAACACATTTAAATCTCCAGTTTGGTTCAAACGTTTACTTAACGTTATGTTATTTCATTTCCCATGACAGTTTTTTCCCAGTGACGTGCAGCTGCATCACCTTGACTCAGGGGACCGAGAGGAGCGTTGGCGGCGAGCGTCTTTGGTCCGATGTTTTCCTCCCGGGACGCGTCAGGAGGAGCTGTGGTGGTTCTGACGGGGTTGTTCTCCGGTCCAGAGCTTCTTGTTGAGGATCTTTTTGTCACTGTGGTAATAATTTCTGGGCCTTTTAGAAAGAGAACGTTAATCACAAACAGATTACAGAGAGAGCGGTTAAAGTAAAAACTTACTTATTTAAATAAATCTTTGTCTTAACATTAACATATTACACATCGTGGACTATCCTTAATGTGCTAGTGCTAACTAGCTAGACAGGACAAGGTATTACTGAGCTAATTAAACCTTAAAATGATATTATAAGACTGACTGGAAGACTGAAAAACCAGGGGAAACAGCTAGCTTAGCTCTGAACCACAAGTCCTGGAATATCTTGAAACACCTGGAAAATTTTAATTTTATTGTAGCGCCTTACTCAGATTACATTAGTTGTTGTGGTTCGTAATTGTTAATTATATCCAACGTTGGGCACGTTAATAAAAAATAGTTATTAGTTAAAGTTACTTCTCTTAAAAGTATCTGAATTACTATATGTGTGTATGAACTGTATGTAAAAGTAATTCGTTACTAGGGAAATTAACATTTGGTTTACTTTTAAATGCTTTAGCCTCAGTCTGTTAGCATGATATCATGACCTGAGACCCCTTAGCTTTAGCCTCAGGCGATAAAATTACAGTTTTTGTTGAGAGAACGATATACAACGCTTCAGTTTCCAGTTGGAAAGCTATGAACTTGTTTTTTTAGGTGGCTAAAAATACATTTTGATAATTATTTGAACTTAGGGAGAAACTATAATGAATCCAAACTAACTCAGAGTTCGGGGGTTCGGTTTAGACTTTGTTAAAGCTGCTTTCTGGATCTTTTTATGGATTAAAAACAACATTTCTGCCCAAGTGAGCCGACCTTCAGTCGCCCTCAGGAGACTGGCACTCTCCTCGCCGACACCCGGCCCTCCTCCCTCCTCTGAAGCCGAAGGTGTTGCTGCTGTGAAGGTGAACACAAAGACCTTCAGAAGTCAGACATTAATACATTCCTCTTCATCATTAAAGACCAGAATTAATCATGTTGCTGGTTTTTATTAAAGCTTCAGTGTTTAATTACAGCGTCCAGCGGAGAATTACCACTTTACATGTTTGCCTCAAATCTGGACTGAATCAGTTCCTCATCTCACCGTGCTCATCTGAAACCTCCTGTTGCTCTTCATCACCATCTTCCTCCTCTTCTTCCTCCTCCTCCTCTTCAGATGACTTTAAAGTTGGGGCACTGGGTGTGGTTGTTATTCTCTCAGATGGACTGATTTGTGGTTTTGCTGAAGTCGTGATGATTGAACCTGCACAGATTAAATTAATAAATAATAATATATAAATATTATTATTATATATGTACATCTACAGATAAAGTTAAGATGTACATTGCAGCTTTATTTCTATAGAATTTTTCTAAAGAGTATTTTTTGCTTTTAATCTAAACTTTTTTAAATCGATTTTACCTTTTTTTCAATCATAATTATTATTTCCGTAAGAAAAATAGCTTAAACTATTCCAAATAAAATAAAATGTAAATCTTTTAACAGATCACAGAAAGAAAAAGAAAAATTAAGATCATTTGATAGATTTACAGCATTAACTTCCTGTGAACACTTTGTGTGTATAACACAAATTAAAGGCGTGTGTAGATGAAACATGAAAAATAATAATGTCTCATTCTTAATAATTTGGGTATTTGCTTTGCTTCCACTGTTTCAGCCTTTCAATAAACTTTGATTGATATCCTTCAATGTCCCCAGACTGTTGCAGATTTCTTGTTATTTTAATTTTGTAATATGTTTGTGTTTTGGTAAATTTAGAATCTTTTTCATATGTTTATGAGTTTAAATGTAATGTCAAAAGTAAAAAGTTCATAATAAATTAAGCTAACGTAAAACATTTTCCTCATTAAAACAAATATGAGGAACATTTCCTAATCACCTTCCTCAGAGGACTCCTCCAAACTGGTCGGTTCTCTGGGAGTTGTAGTCCTCAGAAAACTTGTAGTCCGAGTCGAAGCTGTTGAAGACGTCTCCGTGTTTCCGAAGCTGGATGAGGAGAGTTCGGTCGGCTTGGATTCTCCTTCACTCGCTGTTTCTCCATCAAATAAAACCGAATCTGGAGCCAAGAATTCAACAAGTGTTTAATATGTCTGTGAGCTGATGTGTGAGAGTATATCTTATGGAAATATAAATAAAACCTTTTATATCATAGACTCATGCTAACGGACTTAAAATACAATTGTGTTATTTGAGTTTTACCTCACAAATGTTTCTCACAACATCAGTTTTTTTAATTCTGTTCAAAATACAACTGAAACACTGCAGTTGGATCTCCAAATAAACAATTTTGCAACTTGGATGTGATCTTTTAATTACAAACCTAATTGCTGTTATCCGAGAAAACTTAAGTCTAGTCAAAATATCTTTAAAATGGAGTCAATGAGGCACGAAACGTTGTGTTTTACATATCGTTGAGCTCTTTGACCAACTTTATGTAAGCGCTCAAAACAACTAAAATATTATAATTATTTTAATTGTGGGACATTTTAGTGTTTTACAGATTTATTTGTTGGGACACTCAGCTTGAAACCAGGACGTCTGGTCACCGTAGTTACACCTGTTCACAATTTTTGGTGCATAAGTCGACTTATCTTTGTGTTTTTACTGTAATAAATTAATATTGACCTAAAACGTGATGTTATAAATGCTGATCTGTAACAGTTGCAAAAGCTGAGCGTCATAAAGATCTTAAACTGACGCAGTAACGTCAGTTACACAACTGTATCTAATGTGGCTAACATTAGCTTCCATAAGATAAAGTAAAACTGTAGCAGCAGCTGTGTTTTAAATTGTTTCATCGCTTATTAATTCAACTTTTCATTTGTAGTTGTTTGTTTTATTTTTTGTTTTAAATAAAATAAAATAGTATTTTTCTGCCTTTTTCAAGTAAATCTTATTTTTATTTCTTTCCTCCTTTTTTCTGTTTATTTGAAACAAACCAAACATTAAAACGCTTCATTTTCTTTTAAAGGTTTTTATGAATTGAACATTGAGTGAATCACTGTTACAGGAATTATGTGAATAAAAGACACCAACTGTTATATTTAAGACTGTGAGTACGTTCCTGTTATCAATCGAGACGGAGAGTATTATTGGCTCACCGGGGCCGATCGCTGAAGGGTTGTGGGTCATCTGATCTTTATTTATCTCTTCCAGCTCGAGTGCTTCCTCCGTCGCTGCCTCATTCAAATCTGTAAAAGCGGCGACGAATAAAAAAAAAAAACGCGTCAGGAAACGTCTGAGCCAACGGTGAGTCACCGAACAGCAGGAGACGAACAGCGGGGGAAATTATTTCTGGTGTTTTGGAAGCTGCCAAAAAAAACGTCAGCTCGAGCCAAATGTAATTATGAGCAGCTTGCAAAAACACAAGTTTGCCAGAAAAGTACTTGAGGGAGGATCACATTAAGAACATACAGATGGAAAACGAGAGGCTGAGTAATGCAACTGTTTTACTTTGAGAGATGAGACTCGCTTCTTCCTCTTCAACCTCCTCTGCACCACCTTCGCCTTCCTCAAACTCCTCTGGAAACACAAACCAGAGAACAATTAACAAACATGGACGCTGATACGTTTCCAGAGAATAAAACCTCTAATAATAAAGTATCTCAGTGGTTTTTATTGCCCGTTTTAGCTCCTTCCAGTCAGCTTCTTTAGCATCAAGTCCATCTGGAAATTGTTTATAACCATTTAAAGATCACACCCTCAGTTATATTGTTCCCATATTTAACGATTTTTGACAAAATACATTCACAAAAACTTCACCCGTCAATCAGTCTTTTAGCCAGGGAGCACAGAGCGAAGATTCATTAGTTAGCTCACTGATTACTGTACAAACACACAACTTCATCAGTGATTTGGGTGAAACTGGATCATATTTTATGGAGAGAATATTGTCTGGTTTTCTCTTTGACGTCCACCGGCTGCTAACTGCTAACTGCTAATGTAGCTGCCTTTAGCGGTAGCAACCGAACGGGGCTCAGCAGCCTCCCAGTGAACACAAACTCCGATGACAGCGGTACTGAGGTGATTTTATAGTTTCCAGATGGACTTGTTGCTTAAAGAAGCTAACTGTCGCCAACAGTAAAGTTAGATGCTGTTAGCTGGTTAGCTCGTGCAGCTTTTCTCTTATTTTTGTTCGCATCTGTGGTTTGTACCCACTGAGTTCTTGGATTCACCAGTGTTTTCTTATTTTTGCTCGGTGTGTGTTCAGACCACTTCAGATTGAATATGTTCATATGGCTCTCGCCCGTTATCTCTCTGAAATGAGGGAACACCTGCAGGAACCACTCAAACTGGACCCCGCTATCTTCAAGTCGCCCAGGTTCTGACCTCTGCTCGTCCCTGTGTTAAACCTGTGACTCATGGGCCAATTACAGAGCGTACCGGCGGTCGTCAAGAGTAGGGGCGGGCCCGGCGGTGGGGTGGCGAGGTCATGGTCCATCCTTGTGGTGTCGCTCTGGTTATCCACTCTGCCAGTCATTAGCGGGTCAATCTCTGCCGGACAGACAGAATAACAGTCAAACCCAAAGACACACACTGATCATTGAAAGCTGCTTCTTCAGCCATTATAAACCATCTAATATCAGTCCGACCACAAGCAGGTGTTTTACCTGCTGACAGGAGCGAAGAGTTGGAGATCTGGAAGCTCTCAGAGTCATTTCCTGCTGAGAGAACATCTGGAAGGAAGACCGACCGGATTAAACCAACAGATACCGCATCAATTCAGTCTCCATATAGATTAATATACTCCAAACAGTCAGCTTTAGCTTCAGTCTGAGCCACATTTTTTACCATCTCACTTGTTTAACTCTTGGTGCTTTTTTAAATCTAGATCTTTAACCGGATTGAAGGATTTAACTCATCAGACGTCTGGATCTTAAGTTATCAGACTGTCTGACAGGCCTCCAACCGGCTCCTCCACTTTAATAAACTCATCCACCTCAACTTCTCCTGGTTCTCTCCGACCGGCTAAGCTGGAGCAGAACGTCTATATTTGGACCTGACGGATCAAAGACACTCTGTACAATCTTTGATTTTTGTTTTTCCAGCTGTGCGTGGGCAGGAAGCCAAGGGATTAAACTCCAAGAGGTCATTGTTTTAATTGGCCGAGGGCCACAGAGGTGTGACTCAGCCTCCTGCGCTCCGGTCCAATCAATCGCTGACCCCGCTCACAAACTGACGCACTGTCTGGAGAGAGCTGACGCTGACATTTTGGTAGTCGTGTCCTCTCAAAAGCTCCCTGACTCTGCGTCATTCGATCATAAGTTTCAGACCGACGGGCGCTGACGTCACTCGGACTCACCTCTGAAGAGTTCGGCGGTCTCCACGGTGCCACCGAGCACATCTGAAACACAGAATCAGACTAATGAGATTCAGTCTGCTGCTGGACTGAGAGAGAAAGTTAATGATCCAACTGCTGCTAACAGAAACAACATGATCACATCATTACTTCACTCTTTAGTCTTCAGACTGAATATGTTTAGAGATTGACTTTTAAGTTTTTACTGATTACTTTTCCCCCAACTATATCGGATACTGTAGGTGCCGGCTCTGAGTTTTAGATCCAGGGCTGGTTGAAATTTTATTTTAAAACTTTATTTTTTGTAAAATGTCTGACTGTCAACAGCCATAAAAGAATACATTTTTACCAGTTTTTTTTTAACAAATCCTTTAAAATATTGATATTTAATACAGTAAAATATCTAATAGATGTCCGCATGAAACATGAAAAGTTGATTACTTACATTACATACAGACAAAGTGAAGTAAAATAAACATAATTTTTTTTATTTTGGGTGTTTTCTTTCCATTAGTTTGAAAGAAAACGTGTTATACAAGCAAAACAACCCACAATCTCCAAACTGACCACTGCATAAACAATGTTTCTATTGCACAGAGGCTGCTGTCTGCTGGTCCCTGGAGGAAGTTACCTGTGTGATTTGTGGCGAAGCAGGACGATTCGGCGAGGCCTCTCAGGGTCGAGTTGTAGGAGCTCTGAGTCACACAGTCGATGGCGGCCCGGTCACACTCACAGAACCTCTGCTGACACCAATCGCCACCGTCTCCGAGACAACAGAAAGACCTATTTATTTAGGACACTTTTATTTCCTCTGGCGTGATAGCAGCAGGACACGTTTACCTTTATAAAACCTACAGATACAGTAAATCTTACTCTCATTAAAGCAATAATTCAAGTTTCTGTGAAATATTTTCTTTCTTCAGACGAGTGGAGAAGAGTGGTCGTGATTTCACTCTCAGCTAAGAAAGTCAATGAACATATTTTCCAGCTCCTTTAAACCGTCTCACCACAGCTGGTGTTTTCTGCCGGACAGGTGAAGTTATCCGGGAGCGGAGGCAGCTGCTGCCTGCAGGGGGCAACGTTCTGGTAACACAACCTGTGAGTCTCACAGCAGCTACAGCAAAGAAGAAATGAGAGATACTTTAGACTTTTACCAGAAGATGGCGCTGAAATACAGACTGTTTATGTACATAGTATATCTCTCACTTTCTATCGCCCCCTGGTGGCTGACGGCAGTATAGGCCAAAGCTTTAATATAATTTAAACAGAATTGTACAGTTATGATCGGGGAAATTAGCTCTAGAGACTAAAAGGCTGTAAACATGTTTATTTCTGCTGTAAAGTTAATATGAGGCCTTATGGAGAGTCACTGCTTTTTTTTAAAATCTATTTCTGCGTTGAAAAGATGAGAAAAATGTGACTTTTATCTTTGCCAGCTAGTTACATCTGAAACCTGATGTTAACAGCCTCTAGTGGCCGTTAGAGGAACTGCAGCTTTTTTGTTTAAAGCAGTGATTCTGAACCTTTTCAGCTCATCATCCTTTAAAACAAAGTGAGTTCTTTTTGCAAACATTTGCACAATATTGGTTTTTGGTTCTATAATTATCCAGAAATCACAAGAAAATGAAAATATTAGAGCGAAGCCTGAAAAAACAGAATTTCCTGTTGCTGTTGATCTGTCATCCCTCACATTATTAAATTAATAAAATATGTTTTGTAACCAATAACTCTCCTGTGTTTTAAAACCTCGCTATCCAGCTGCTTGTTGAATGTCTTTCTGCCTATTTGCCCGAACCTGCCTGCTGCCTCCAGCCTCTGGACTCATTTAAAGCCGACATGCAGTATTTTACATTCAACAGCTGCTTCAGTCTTTACTCACGCGTCCAGAGGATCTACGGGGTTTCCAGCGGCTGCGTATCTGCAGGAGCAGCCATAATCTTCCAGGTCTCGTGGACAAAGCCCCGTCTCGCAGCGGAGCTTCAGAGCAAAATTCAGCAGCGAGGGGAAATTATCGAAGACCGAGTGGAGCCACGTGAACCGAAGGCCGAGACAGTCTGAGAAGAAGAGGAGGGAAACACACAGAGGCCATCAGAGGAACAAACCTCAACAACTCCATTTCCTCCATCTTGCAGTGGGAGCGATTTAATCAGATAATCCTGCCAGCAGGTTCCAATAACCCGAGTCCAGAGGAGCATGCAGGCCGGAGATTTATTTAGGCCACATGCTCTCCACAGGCCAGATGTACCCACAGTGCCGATTGGGACTAAAGGTCCCCGAGAACGTCACAGAGTCCACCTTCATGTTAACGGCACAAAGAGGCTGACGGAGGAAACAAGGTTTCAGTCTGCAGACACACCGACCCAATCAGATTGATTTCATTCACACGGTTATTGTGTTCAAATTTACTTTTGATTTTCTGAACAACTGACACTTCTTAAGCCCTGCCCCTTTTTGCTCTGTGCTCCAATAACAGTTGAGCAAGCCTCAGTCAATTTCCTCCTTTCCTGTACTGAGATATGCTATATGCTAGGCTAACCTATGTAAATAAGACAACCACATTTTGAAGATGGTTAAAAGATAAAAGCAACAGTAAGTGAGCTGATGTTTGTAAAATGCTAGCTAATTAAGATTCAAGATTCAAGAAGCTTTATTTATCCCGAGGGAATAAATTAATTAACTAGCTAAATTTATCCTACAGTCTGTTCCCTAAAGAAATCTCATATAATGAGTGAAAGTTCTTCTGTTGTCCTAATATTCAATTCACAGTTTTTAAGAAAAACTCTTTGATTTACAGATTATTGTTGTATTGATTCCTTCTGTGAGCTCTACAACACCAAACTCTTGCCCTACGTATGTATAATATGTTATTTAAAAACAATAACAGACAATTTCTGCCTCTTTTTTAGGAGGCAGGAGTGACACTTTCTTTATCCTCAACATTTGTTATGTTCTCAGAATGATGAAGACAGAAACGAGATGAAACATTTTTCCCACATCAAGAACAGATTTTATCTCAAGTCGTTTGAGCGAGCGTGTCCCCAAACCCCTGCTAGAGTTGGTCTAACCCCCAATGTTTTTACATCGTTTGCTGTCTATTCATTTGTATTTAAAGACATATTATATATTTATATAACAAAGATCAGCATAAAGTTTAGATAATAAATATAAACAGATGATATTTATATGAACACATACTGACCCTTTAAACTCTTTTCAATCACCAACTTTAATCAGCTGATTCATTAATTAATAATAATCAAGGCTCTGAGTTTCACAACGGTTCATCCTCACCGGTCACATGATCTTCGTTCTGGTTGCCGCCCTCTGGGTCCGGGCAGAAGATGGAGCCGGCAGAAAGTGCTGAAGATGAAGATAATTAATTATAATGATGAAAAACTGATTAACATTTAACACATCAGTAAACCATCATATTACATAATGTCACTGATTAATACACCTTTAACTTCAGTTTCAATAACTAAATCAGGAGTTTTTATAATATTAATAACTTTAATGGCTTTTGGTCAATTTGTGTGTTTTTGGGAACTCACCATTTGGAACAGCAGATAGCATGAAAATCCATATCAGAAACATGACTTGAACCTGCATTCAGAGGGGGAACGGTTCAGTTTTAACTCTCAGAGCTCCCGCCAAACGACTGGTTCTGTGTCTCTTAATGGCTTCAAACCGCTCGGCCCACCTGCAGCTTAAAGTGCGTCATCAATGTAATTCAAGCACCGAACCCGTTTCAGTACGAGCAAGAGGAAGTTATCGCTCTGAGGTCAGCGCAGAGGTCGACTGAGGTAAGAGATATAAAAACATCAATATAAATGTGTTCATTGCCACCAATTATTCAATTTATAGTTAGAAAGTTTGTTTCAGTGATATAAACACAGTGTTCTTAAACACATAAACACATAGCAAGCTTAATGTTGAGAAAGCAGCACTTAAATGTCCGTGTTATAAAGAATAAAACAGAATTAGGGTTTTGTTGTGTTTGGGGTAGAGGTCTTAATAATCCAACTGTTTACAATCAATAACAGCCAATATTATCTCTTCCCTCGTGGTTCCAACTTAGAAATAAGTTAATAAAAGTTAAAATATTGTATTCCTCATTGGTCTCTGGACCCCATGAAAACAACTGGAAACATCTGCCACAACCAGCAGAGCAACATTAGCATTATTCTCTCTTCTATTAGCTCTGTTTTTGGTCTCCTCCAGCTCCTCTTTAGCTGCTGAATTCTCCATTTTGCTGCTGAGCGAGTCGCATACAGTTGATTTATCTGAGTTTCTTTTGTATGAAAACATATGAAATACAGAATCACAGAGCAACAACAAAGATAAATAACTCACAAAACTTTAAAGAAGGTTGAGAAGATCTTACCATATTAGACGTTTCTTCATTGACTGACGGTCAGTGTTGATCTCATTGTAATGAACCAGCAGCCTCTTTAGAGCTGTTGTCGTCTTGTTTCCTGACAGAATAAGCTCTCAGCTGCACTAACTGTGTTTATCAGCCTACCTGAGGAGGCGATGGGGGGGGGCAGCCCCTTCGCTCCAGGTCTTATTGGCTATCAGGTGACACCTGAGCAGGAGCTTATCATGGTTCCTGTGCAGGTATTTGAGGCTTTAACGGAGGTGGGGTACTAATGGGGGGGGGACCCACAGAGTGGTCTTTGTCCCACAAAGGGGAGGTTGGATCTGTGACCCCAGGGGCGACCCTGGTCTTATCTGATCCTGCCAGGAGTTCAGATCAATGACGACCAGAAGAGGAGCAGTGTGGGGGGGACTGATAGGGAGGTATTGTATGGGACAGGTGCATCTGTGGGGGAGGGTGGCCCAGATATTTCTAATGTCACGTTACAGACAGAAAGTGGATACAATTACAGAAACAGTACCGAAGTCATGACAAATTTGGTGGAAAATTGTAATTTCTTTGAATGTTGGAGGTGTAATTCTTATACTTTTTAGTAAATATTCTCGTCCTACAATAATAAACTACTGGTTTTAAATTAAAGTCATGCTGCAATGCGCCGACTCTCACACTGGAGTCGGACTTTAGGCCCTTCAGCACCTACTGATCCACTAGAGGATACCATATCAGTGTCTTGAACTTACAATCTTTTCCTAAACTTTTTGTTACTGAAGCTAACCAAAATGTGAACGTTTCACAGTGTTAACCATGCAAGCTTTATTTTGAAAGTCTAACCGGATGTTGCATATTGATTAACTCGAACTCCTCGCGCAGGAGAATGCGGTTCGAGTCCCGTGTGAAACTAGAAGTTGATTTCTGTTGAGTGAGTGTTGTGGAGAGATCGATCGGGGCCGCTGAGAAAATGAACCAACTTTGTTTTATTGAATGGACAAAAAAAAGATGATTTATACTCTTTGTAGAGATGTTTGATATTAAATATGATTTTCATAAATAGTTGCAGACATTCAGTCAACATGTAAACAGTCTCTACACACAAACTCCAGATATCCAAATTCAGGTTTCGGTATTTCTGGCCCTAATAACTACATTATATCACTGTATGGATGATTATGATTAACAGTGATAAATATGAAAATGTTCATTATTGTTCAACAACTTTGTTCCACCAGCTGCAGTTTGTAGTTTCAGTCACTCCTTGTGAGGATGAACAGCTCTTTGTTTCCCTCGTCTTCCTCTCTGTCACAGTTTATTGCACATCTTTGTCAGGCATCTTTGTTTGAGATCTGTGGAGAGAGGACAGGGGGTTACAGCCACGAGATCATCTCTTCAACAACAAGATCAGATCAACATTTCAGGTTGTTTCAGCCACAGTTTTAAAACTTTTAATAATCAGTTGCTGCACAATTTTACTCTCTGCTGACTCCGAACCTAATCAGTTGCTGCTGAAATGATGTGGAAGATATTGTAGTTCAGAAATAAACCCAGAAGCTTTAACATCCTCTAATGCAGTGATTCCCAGCCAGCGGGTACGTGGACGGATTGTAGAGCAGCTCAACTAATCTCACTGAATTTATATTAATCATTCAAACTTTCACCATTTATCAATCTCAACTCTACAGTACACGCGTTTATGAGGGTGAAGTACTTACTTACTTGAAGTACAAAACCTACTTATTTAAGTAGGTTTTGTGGCTAAAGCTAACCAATTTAGCTCACAATGTTAAACACACAAGCTTTATTTTAAAAGTCTAACTGGACATTTATTCTTCACCGCTAATCCACTAGCGGATACCGACATGTTTGAACTACATGATTATTTATGTTACTTGGAACAGAGGTAAATATTATGGATGAGCATGTACAACATTATCTGTATCTATTCAGCCCAATAAATGATCTGTATCTGTGGCTGTACTGTGAGGGGGCGGGGCTAACCTGACGTTTTAAGGGTTAATTGATCCGGGTTGATCAGAAGTTGCTACAGAACTGAGCTTCAGAGCAACTATTTACAGAAGAATAAAAGTTTTTGAAGCTCAAATATTCTCTCAGTGTAAGTGTTTATTTAACATTTATGTTATCGAATTAAAAACTTCAGACAAGTTCTGCGATCTCTGACTCCTTTCAAGTTTTCAAACGCTGCTTAATCGTCAATTTCAAATCGAGTCTAAAAATACACACGAGGGCTAATTAGAGCCGGAGGGTGGACTGACGTGACACCGTGTGAGTCCTCGGTCAGGGCCACGGCGGCGGGATCAGCGCTGGATGATCGGCGTGTCAGAAGCTGTGAGAGAGGCGGCTCTCTCCGCGACCTCTCGAGCCCATTAGCTCAGAGGATTGGCGGTCGGAGGCTCCTGCAGAGCTGCTGCTCTAATGAGCTCTGGTACCGAATCCTGGCAACACGGCGGACACATCCTCATCAGTGCAGGTGAAGGATGAAGCTCCCCAATTATTTCTGATTCTCACTCTCACGGCGGTTTGTAGCCGACTGTGTTTTATAAGCACCAACATGACTTCCACTTTTAAAAAAATTAGCATCCCTCAAAAGTTATTTTATGGTTTTAAAAAACAAATTATCCTGAGTGTTGAACACATGTCTCACTGGAGGACGTCGTTTTCTGTCTGTTTGTCTGCAGAATATCTCTAAAACTAGTTCATAGGTTTCAGTGAAATGTGGAAATGTTATTCTTACAGATTATCCAGATATAAGAGAATATCAGTGAGCTTTAGAGGTGCTGGTGGGCTGATTTAACCTTAACACTTACATTCACCACAGAACAATGAGAGCATTTATTGTTTGTTTTTCTCTGTTTTGCTTTTACTATCTTTTTAATAAATGATTGTGTTTATTCATGCTGATCTATTTAATTTCACACAACAGTAGATGAAACCAGCCTCAGAATCACAAATCCTTCCTCTAAAGATATTGATGAGGTGATTTTGGTTGTAGTTATTAATTTAATTATTAATCAGATTTCCAAATTGAGTTAAGAGAATGAACCAATCAATTATTGGCCATTGTTTCCATTATTTAAGATTGGACCCCCGAGTATCTTCATTGTTAATTAAAGTCATTATTTATAATCTTTTGATAATCAAATTTGATAGCCAAAATTTAGTTGATTGCACCAACACAATTCAAGAAACAATATTTACAAAAATGTGAAGGACAGTATGTAAATGTACAAGCTGCTGTTGTTGTCACCATTTCGTGTTGTGTGTTTCAATAAAAGCAGATTATTAATGTTTAACCCTAAAAATGACACAAACAAACGTGAATAATCTAATATCTGAGTTCTGAGCAGCTTTGACTCAATGCGGCTCGTCTCCGAGGTTCCTGAGAGGCTCATTGATCTGTGAAATCTCAATAAAGCTTCACTTCAAAAACCAGGAGCGACTCCGGCTGGCAGGTGACGATGATGAGGACGAGCTCGGACAGAGTCGCTACCTTCGTCGCCTTGGCTGCTATCGATCGATCGTGAGCTTCCTCCGCAGTGCACTTACTTCTGGAGAAGGAGACTCTCCTGACCCGCCGGCACACTTCAGACGTGTGTTTTTCATACCAGACGTGGCTGTCATCGCAGTATCTGAAAGACAAAGACACAACTGTAAA